CTTACGGGTACTCCCTCCTTTCCATTAATAGCGCTTCAATAAAAAAGTGCGTGATGTGCTCAACACTTACAAGTAATCAATCTGCCAATCTTCGACCTTTGCTCATATCTTAAGTAATATAGACAATGTGAAGGAATTATTTCACGACTGGATTTTAATGAATCCTGTTATTATAGGAAACTTGATACAACACACGCAATATTTTTCATATTTCTATTGCTACGGCAACAACTCCTCAACAATCAATTGCTTCTAAAAAAAAATCATATTCTGGCGTTCAAAGTCCTTCACTGTTCCGTTTCCTAAAAAATTACGAGAGAAATAATAATTGTTGATTTTTAAAGGAATACACAAAGTTTCCACCGCCTCGATTAGCAAAATTTGTCGTCTTTTATTCTATTTCCGGTATGCCCTTGTGGTCTTCTAGAAGGCTTGATCGTAACTGCATAACGCTAAAGGTATTCAACTTAAAAAGTCAATAAGAGAATTTCAAATAAACTTATTATTTGTCGTTTGACTCCTTATTTCACCCCCTTCAAGCTTAGATACCTATGCTTTACAAGATGTACCTCAGTCTCAGTCTCAAGAATTACAAAAAGAAATATAATTATTACTGTTAATCCAAAGAATGAATAATGCTGTTTGTTTTTTTCCTCTGTTGTCCTTCTGTTTAATCTTTACGATGTCACGTGAAACCACGAGTTCTTGTTTATCACACTTTGACTAGGTGCGGGAACCTGACACTTCGTTATTAAGGGCCTTGGTTCATTAAGATTTTTTAACTGAACTGAATAACCAACATATTTTTTGGATTAATATCACTTCCGGTACCGCCTTGTATGTTCTGCGGTGAAATCGCTCATCATTTCAAGAGTTTAAAGAAAGCGTTTTCGATTATTTTTATGCAAAAAAAATTATTTTCATATGGCAGGTTTGAAAAAGGAGTTTCCTTTCTGCCTAAAATTTTCTCTGGTGTATCAACCGCAGTTGGCTTAGCCGGCGCACAAAGCGGTATATGTAAGGGTAAAGGTTTGTAATTCGAAGCAAAACCTGCCGGTAGAAAACATTGTTGAATAAACCCATCTCGTTCAACTCCTCTTGCCAAAGAGACTGAGTGTAGCGCCTTAGAAAAACGAACACAATGATTACAAATTGCGAACAAGTTATTACGTAGTTGTTTTTTGTTCGTGGCTTTCATTTTTTGCTAAGCTTAGTTTTCGCGTCTTCGTAACTTTTGTTACCTTAGATAATTAGTCATATATTGTGAGTAAAACTTTTTCCTGATCCGATGAAGTATTGGTAGCAGAATGTTAGGTGCGTTCTGAAGGATCTCGGTACCAGTTTACTATTTGATGTATCGTCCGACCACCTCTCCTTAGTCTCTCGCGGCCTAGCCTCGGCCTAGCAAGTTCAATGAGAGCTTTCACACTGGCTTTCTTGCTCCGCTTTCGTTAGTTTCATCTCAAGCTGTAAGAAACCTGTAGAAACACGATGGAGCATGCTTTTCAGGTTAATAGATTGATGTTTACTAATGAGCCCGCACTACTCTCCCACCGAGTTTCTTCGGCAGGAACAAAGCGGATTGGACTCGCAAGAACGAGAAAAATCGAGGCCATCTGCCTTTGAGTCTATTTGATTTACATGATAAAAAGACATGTTGCTATGAAAAGGTCATTTATACGTCTGCTCTCCGATAGATCACTGGTAAGAACCAATCAAATTGCGTGTATAGTTCAACCTATCATATAAATGACAATAGAGGCCGTATTTTCACTTCATTGGAATTGTATATACATTTTTATTAATATTGCAAGAGCATGTAATGAGCGAAAGAATGTTTTTTTCCACAGCTTTCTTTCGTCCGGTGTATATATATATATTTTTTTTTTTTAATTTTTTTATTCATATTGCAAGAGCGTTTAGTAAATAAAAGAGAAAAAAAGTCTTTGGACAGACTCAGGTGGACAGAAATAGCACATTTTTCCTTGAAAAATATTTCATTATACGAACATTGAAGAACAGGATGTGTACATAATTTAGTAAGGACACCTTTTTAATGGACAGCGAGAGTGACTCAAGAGGAAATAAATTCTATGTCAACGAGATTTCTTAGACAAGTGTCACTGCTGTTTGTACAGCGAACAATACCTCCTTCAGAGAGAAGCCACGCAACGCTATGAAAACGTGTTCTTTTGGTGGAAACGAGACTTGGTCACGTTTTTCACCGAATGTTCAGAACACTGCAACCTGGCATACATGGAGCGCATGAGCCCACTTGCAGCATGGAGCCCACTTGCAGCTGCTTCGATTAAGTGAAGTAAATTGATTTTATAACAACACGGATCTAAATTAATTCTGAAATATTTGTGTGATGCAGGGATCGATGTTCATCACAACTGATGTGATGAACTTTGCAAAGTGTTTGTAAACGAGCCGTCAAAATTTAATGCGTGGGGTTTGATGCGAGAGACATGTTATTTGCAGTGTTTGCAAGCAGGTGTTTTCGACTCGTGGCATAAATTATGAAACTTAATCTCAGTCAAAGATTGACTATAGTGTGTTCAAAAAACTCGCATAATCCCTATGGG